TTCACACTCTCAATTAAGCCCAATTACTAATTCTAGCAAATCTATATTATTTTACCAAATAGAATAAATCAAATAAATTAAATAATCAAATTAAATCAATTATTTCAAATAAGTCCAATAAATCAATTAATCCAAACAACTCAAATAAATCAATTAATTCCTTTAAATCAAATAATTCAAATAAATCACATAAATTAATTAATTCATAAAATCACTCAATTAATTAATATAAATAATTAATCACTAAAATTGGGGTGTTACAACCCTCCCCCACTTAAAAGATTTCCGCACTCGAAAACTACCTCAAACGAACAACTCGGGATAAAACTCCCTCATCTGACTCTCAAGCTCCCAAGTCATGTTTCCATCAGCTGGTCTTCACTAAGCGACCTTCACCAAAGCAATCTCTTTACCTCCGAAGTTGCTTCAACTCCCGGTCCTCTATCCGCATAGGTGATGTCTCTATAGTCAGGTTATCTCTCACTTGCACATCATCTACTTGTACTACATGAGAAAGGTCCGCAATGTATTTCCTCAACTGAGATACATGGAACACGTCATGGAGATTATCAAGCGACATCGGCAAAGCAACACGATGCGCTACCTCTCATGTCTTTTGTAAAATCTGATAAGGACCAATAAAATTCAGCATCAACTTACGCGACTTCAACACTCTGCCAGCACCAGTTATCAGAGTAACTCGAAGATACACATGATCTTCCTCTTGAAACTCAAGTGCTTTCCTCCTCTTGCCATGATAACTCTTCTGACGACTCTGAGAAATCTTCATCTTCTCCTTAATCATCTTAATCTTATCAGTAGTTTGTTGAACTATCTCAAGTCCAACACAGCACTCTCTCCCGACTCATACCAACACAATGGCGTCCTACACTGTCTACCATACAATGCCTCAAGCGGTGCCATTTCGATACTCGAACGAAAATTGTTGTTGTAGGTAAACTCAATCAAAGGCAAGTAACTATCCCAAGCTCCTCCTTTCTCCAACCCACAAGCTCTCAAAAGATCTTCAAGTGACTGAATCGTCCTCTCAGTCTGACCATTTGTTTTCAGATGACAAGCAGAACTCAAATGCAACTTCGCACCCAAAGCACTTTGTAAACTCTCCCAAAATCTCGAAGTAAACCTCGGATCCCTATCTGACACAATGCTAGACGGAATACCATGCAAATTGACAATCCTCTCAATGTACAGCTTCGCTAACTTCTCCAACGGGTAATCCATTCTCATTGGAATAAAGTGAGCAGACTTCGTCAACCTATCCATAATAACCCAAATGGCTTCACAATTACTTGGTGTTTTAGGTAAACCAGACACAAAATCCATCGATATGCTATCCCATTTCCACTCAGAATAGATAACGGTTGCATCAAACCGACGATTTCTGATGCTCAATCTTCGACTTCTGACAAGTCAAACAAGAATACACAAACTCTTCAATATCTTTCTTCATACAAGGCCACCAAAATACTTTCCTCAAATCTTGATACATCTTAGTATGACAAGCCTAAGCAGCGTGACAGATTACCCGTCACCACCCTTCAACCTGTAAAATTCCATTTTCTTCAATTGAGTTCACTGCATAACTCCTATTTCTCATCCCATACATGCAAAATCGACCCCAAAACATTACATACATGATTGATATGGAATGTATCATATGAGAATATCATTTTTATGTGAAAACATGAGAATGAATCTGAACCATTAGATTTTAAAATAAGTGGTGGAGATTATGTGTCATTTTTTTTCTCTCTCTCCTCCATCATTTATCTTAATAATGGAGTAGAGAGAAAAAAACCACACATAATCTCCACCATTTATTTTAAAATCTAATGGTTCAGATTCATTATCATGTTCTCACATAAACATGGCATTCTCATATGATAATCTCTCTCTCTCTCTCTCTCTCTCTCTCTCTCTCTCTCTCTCTCTCTCTCTCTCTCTCTCTCTCTCTCTCTCTCTCTCTCTCTCTCTCTCTCTCTCTCTCTCTCTCTCTCTCTCTCTCTCTCTCTCTCTCCTCTCTCTCTCTCTCTCTCTCTCTCTCTCTCTCTCTCTCTCTCTCTCTCTCTTTATATATATATATATATATATATATATATATATATATATATATATATATATATATATATATATATATATATATATATATATATATATATATATATATATATATATATATATATATATATATATATATATATATATATATATTTATTTATTTATTTATTTATTCATTAATAACATCCAGTTGCATCAAATCGCACTTTTAACTCATGGTTTTTATAAAATTGTATTATTCCAAAACCTTCAAAATAACAACAATGGTGAATACATATTAATTCTTAAAATAGAATATGTCACACAACATAGTACATAAATATTATCACCAATCATCATCACATACATAAAATTAATTACAAATAACAAAATTATGTAAAATTCCAAAGCTCTATTGGAGGTTAAGGACTCCTCAATTCTACTCTTCAAGTATATACCTGTTATTGAGATAGTTCTTTCTTTTACCGGATTATCATAGCAAAAGTGCAAAATTATAATTTTTTTTCTAATCTCCTCCAAGTTCTAAGTTTTTCCTTCCACTTTCTCTAGCCTCCTCTCTATTCTCCAAACTACGATTCTAGGTAATGATAAACCCCTAAAACTATGTTATGCTCTAATTTATATTATTAGGGTAAATCTTCTTGTAATTCTAATTTTGACCCAAACTCTTATTCCACTTGCTCCTTACTCCTTTCTACTCTTCATAAATCAAATTTTGACCCCAAATTCTCTATTTCTATTAAACTAAATAAATTTAATAAAATACTATTATTTTAATTTTTTAAAATAAACTCTTATAAATTAATTAAAATCTACTAGCCTCTAATTACTCTCTACACTCTCACCTCAATGTCACGCACCCCCATTATCCTAATTTATTTAGTTAATATTATCCAATAATTAAATAATTACACAAAAATCATAATAAATCAAATAATTTTAATAAATCAAAAACTCGGGTGTTGCACCTCACATATACTATCTCACTTAAATCTTAATCATATTTATCTAACTTCGACATCAAAATGTGTTTGAAAGAGCAGGGATCGATGTGCCCTACTTGAATCTCATCTTGTTTCATGCAAGAAAACATTCAATCTCACAATTTAGAAAAATGAATTTTGAATTTGAAAATAGCTAAAATACTCTTTTTTTCATGTGTGAATTTTGAATTTTATATCTAGAGCAACACAGGCTTGCTAGACCGGAGTATTGGAGGACGCTCTGGAACCAATGATCCTTAGGTCGATAAAGGTTCAGAATCTTTCTGATGTGGTTAACAGATTTCAAACAATCACACTCCTGTTATAAAAACAAAATATTAGTCATTGGGCAAATGTTTAAAACATATAAATAACAATCGTTAAGAAAAATACCTCTCCAACCCATGCGTGCCCAACAACATGATCTCTATAGTATATCAATAAGGAGGTGTCAGAGGACCCTCCTATAAAAAGGGTCTGCAAGTGGAGGAACACCATCATGTGCAGCAACACGAGTTTCCTTTTGGTCTACGTGATTAGGGGAGTCATGTCCTTGCAATGATGACCCATGTGACAAGTGGCTTCTGAAAGTCGATACTTTCCCCTCATGAGGCCTAGGGACGGTTCCTCGCCTAACTCTGGCTTGCTCATTATGAAGCCAACCCTCTCATGTCGAATGAATGTGTGTTGAGTTTCATGGTCGAATCTCAGTTTTTCGTCATTGTTTGCACCCGTTTTTCTGAAATAATACGAGAAAAAAATACCAGTTTGCATTCAGGACCGTTTCAAATATGCATCTCTAAAAACTAGTAAATCACTAATTTAGATATGTATCTCCGAAAAAGCTCGTGTTTGCATCAATGGAAGAAATTGATATATGTCTTTCCCTAAAAACCCAAAATACAATCGAATTATAGTGCATGTCTCTAACAACTATCTATTAAGAATTTCACTACTACATAATGCATTTATAACAAACTATTTTACCTAATACATTAGTCAAAAATCAAAATAAATTAAATGGGAAACTTACTCAAAAAAGTGTTGAGGATGAATGAGTGGTTAGTTAAGATTGAATGCTTGAAGTAGAGGTAGTGCTTATCCTTGAAAAAACTTGAAAAATGGAATGAAGTATGTTTCTACAAGCTCCAACGTTGCTCGAAGTTGAGGATGCATTTTCTTTCTTCAGAAAATGAAGAATGAGAAGAGGGAGGGTCTGACGTGATATATATATATATATATATATATATATATATATATATATATATATATATATATATATATATATATATATATATATATATATATATATATATATATATATATATATATATATATATATATATATATATATATATATATATATATATATATATATATATATATATATATATATATATATATATATATATATATATATATATATATATATATATATATATATATATACACACACACATTAAACATGTTCGGGGGTGCATTTTCGAATATCCTATTGGATTTGAAATTAAGGATTATTTCAGTGATGTATCTGCGAACAAACTTTAAAACAAATACGGAGATGCATTTGCAAATTAAATTTAAATAATAATAATAATGCGTTTAAAGATGCATTTCCGAAAACTATAAACAATTTTTACTTTTCAACAAAAGTTTAGAAAAACATGTAAAAGTGGAAAAAGAAATTGTCTATACATAATGAACTTATTGGTCCAAAACAATATAGTAATGGACTTGTCCGAAGTTCAAACTAATGACCCGGAAATGGAAAAGGTCCAAAATAATCGACCCGAAAAGAAGCGGGTGCCCCGTATCCACGAAATCAAATTTTCATTCAAAAATTGAAAAAGTTGAAACAAATCAAAATCTCTTTTCTTCCTCAAAATCACTTCTCATTGTCCTCGCTGGTTGAACTTGAACAACGACCTCACTGAGACGATGGATGTGGAAAATCAAAATCCAGATTCGAGCTTTCCGTTCTGGAAACCCGTTCCTCGCAGGCTCCTACCCGATTCACCTTTCTTCGCTATCGGTAACCTCGAACGAGAGCTTCTTGTCAAACAGGTTCTATCTCCATTTCCCATTTGATTTAACTCTAATCGTTTCCTGTTACGTGCTATTGATTTTTTTTTTTTTGAGCTTTTATTTTGAAATTTTGAAATGTGAATTGTTAATTAGCATTTGTATTTCAAAAGGTTGCGTTGGAATTTACAGAAGAGAAGGAACAGATCGAGAGTTTTATACAAGAAGATGAAAGGTATTGATCCTATCCTATGATTACTCTTCCTTATTTTTTATTTTATTTTTTTTTAACTTTTTTATCATATTAACTATATTTGAGTGGAATGTTTGGTTCTGCGGTGATTTTGGTTGAATTGATTATGTAAAATTGATAAAAAGTTAAAAATGAGTTGAATGGAATGGTTGGATAACTATGTAAAATTGATTTTAATGTAAAAATCAAGTTTAAACTTATAAGATACAAATTCTACCTTTAGGTAGAATTAATTCTTGAGGCAGAATTATTTCTACTTTAGAAGTACCAAAAACCTCAAAATCAATTCTACATCCCTGGAGTTGCTTTTGACTCTTCCAAAAGCTAAACCGAACATACCTTCGGAAAAATATATTGTCGAAAATGTAACACTGCCGAGATTGCAGCCGTGTCGGCTGCATATAACTTTGATTCTCATTATCCATGATATTGAGGTTCTTGGCTGCAATATTTACCTTGACTGCTATTTGAAACCCTTATAATGTTGCAAATATTACTCTTTGATCACAATCAGTTGCTGATGTGCTGACATTAAAATAATTGTAATTTTGCATCCATGTTTTATGTTCGCTAATCTTTTATTTTTAAAACTCTTAACATAGATAGATGGTGCATAATGTTCGCAAATACTAGTTCAACTGAAAAAAAAAAAACTATATCCTTAGGTTGGACATCATCATCAGGGTTTGAACCCCTGGTACTCACCGTTGTGTGTGTGAATTTCTAGTGGTTATTACTTATTACTACTTCATCTGCGGATCTAAAAAAAGAAAGATGGTGCATAATATATTTATATCCACTAAGCATTGGAGTAAGACATGCTTATTTCATGCACTGTTATTAGCTATGAAGCACGGATTCCGATACGGATACCGGACACGACACGGACACTCCGACACTGATAACGTTAAAACGCAGGACACTGACACCGCTATATAGAAGAGAGTATTTAAGCTTTATTGATCCATCTATGATTAAATAAGTTGAAAATATTCTAATCAAATATAATGTCTTTAATAATACACGGTTAACAATTTTAAATTTGTGTGCGATTTGTCCAAAATATGCATAAAATTGTGTTGAATCAAAGAAAAAACAATTTTTTGTTTAAAACACTTGTCGGAATTGTCAAACATATGTGTTATGAGTGTCGTATGGGTGTCAACCATTTATTCGAAGAGAGTTGAAACAGAAAAAAATCATTTTTTTAGTGGACACTTGTCGGACTTTTCCGACACGTGTTGTACGAGTGTCATACAAGTGTCGGATACCGCGACACACCTACTCCTAGAGGTGTCCGTGCTTCATAGGTTATTAGGTCTTATTCAACACTCAGCTGATGTCTGATAGAAGCTGTTGCTATTATTAGCTTATGAAAATAGTCCATGATGTATGGATTGTCATTTGTAGTTATAGTTTTATGTTATTATACTTTATTCTGAGTGAAAGACCTTTCTTCTAGTTCTCAATATTGGTTCATCTACATCTAATCATTTATGAGGAAAAACAAAATCTGATTTGTATTACACTCGAAGTTTTACCCTTTGTTGAAGATTCTGCTTTGTCCACGAAGGTAATCTCTCGTGTGTGCGCCTCATTTCATAGTATATCCCTTTGCAGGGAAGTCTTCTGTCCTATTGTTGGGTGTGGAGCGCGTTTGGCTTCAATGGAGGACTTTGAAAATCACTATAATGCAAGACATACTGCATCCTGTTCTGTGTGTTCTAGAGTCTATCCAACATCTCGTTTGCTCAGCATACATGTATCCGAAGCCCATGATTCTTTCTTTCAGGCAAAAGTCGCACGTGGCTATGACATGGTATTATATGTCTAAACTCTGAAACATGATTCAATTTGACATGATGAAACAATTTTATTTAGTACTGCCTTTAACACAGTTCTTATGTCTTTGTCATATAGTATGAATGCTTAGTGGAAGGCTGTGGTTTGAAATTCAAAAGCTACAAAAGCAGGCAGCAGCATCTGGTCGACAAGCATAAATTCCCGACATCATTTGAGTTTTTCAAGAAGGCTCTGCCTTCAAGAAAACAGCGGATGAAATCTCAACGCAAAAAACCTTCTCATAAGGAGGATACTTCAGGAATGATGGAAGTGGAAAATGCAGCCATAGATGACCTTGTTTCAGCAGTCTCTAGATTGAATACATCGGACTCAACTCCTTCCTCTATCAGCTTTGGTCGCCGCAACACCAAAGGTTTGTCATTTGTCCCTCGGGCTGTTCAGCATGGGAGGGGAGCAAACTCGGGTTCATCCGTAACCAAGAGATAATAAGCTTCCACTCAAACTAAATTACATTTTTGATTGCCGAATGATTGATCGATCTTCGGATGATGTCCCATTACAAAATCTCTCTGCATGTCTTCTTTCTCAAGGTTGAAGAAGCTGATAAACTTGAGGATTAGAAAATAGAATCATGCTGGATGATGTAGTATGTATCGTTTATCGAACTGTTAGATCTTGATCAAACACTTATTAACGCTCCAAATGTGTTATTTGGAAGAGAAAAAACGACATGTACTTCGAGTTACATGGACTAAGCATGAGTGTTTTTTTAGAATGACAAAATATTACATAACTAAGAAACAACAGTACAAACAATAACTGAAATATTCAAGACCATACAAAAACAAGCTTTAGATTATCGTTTATATTGAAATTAGTTAAATGAGTGAAAAGTTGTTGATAGATTTTCATTTTGAAAAACAAAAATTAGGACAAAGCTTTAAAATTTTGACTTACAATGTTAAACTTATATATATTGATCGATAAAGGTCAGAGATTCGCTTATAATTTAAGAAAATGTGTTGTAGATTTATAACTCTTATTTTTATACCAAAGTTCCTTAAGTGTATGTTTCTTATATGATCTCAAAGATAATTATAACTATTTTTAATGTTCACATCTTATTTAATCTTATATGTATGATAAGACTATTTAGACATGATTAAGAAGACAACAAAATAAATAAGCATAAACATAACATAATGATAAATAAGATAAAGAGATAAAGAGAATCTAGATATTCTTGAGCAAAGTAAAGTTACAAGAAAAAACAGAGAATTAGGATGGGGTGAAGGCTATTGAGCTGAATGTGGATGACAAAAGTGTGGTGAATGGTATAAATAATAGGAGTTGCAGTACGTTTATGGGTGAAGCTTTGATTGCCAAGATTCGAACATTCAGTAGAATGAATTGGAAAGTGGTTATTAATCATGTTTATCGTGAGGCTAATTAGTTAACAAATGCGTTAACTAAAAGTAGAATAAATCTCATTAAAGACAAGTATATATATATATATATATATATATATATATATATATATATATATATATATATATATATATATATATATATATATATATATATATATATATATATATATATATATATATATATATATATATATATATATATATATATATATATATATATATATATATATATATATATATATATATATATATATATGACATGTGTTCTATTTTATTCGAGAAATTGCTAGATTATAATATATTATCTCTTGGATTATTGTGGTGGAGTTATTTTTTTTAGACGAAACCCTTCATTATAAAAAAAAAAATGAAATAGAGATTTGTGCTCAAATGTCACGATCTACTAATCTATCGGCAGCTCTATTTTTAGCAAAAATGTATATAAAATATTATAATATTTTAGCGATTGAAATAATTGAAAGAAAACTAAAGTTCAGAATTACAAAAGTTTGGGAGTAACACGATTGTGTTAGCAAACACAGGTTGACTATGTTTCTTCCATAAATAATTGGGTTTCTACAAATTCTTGGAATTCTTCGTACTTGCTCTATGGCCCATACATCTAATTGAAGAAAAAAAGATAAAGCATAAAAAAAAACACAATCACAATATATAAACATAATACCAAAATTTTAAAATCTGAAAAAAATCATGGTCATTATCAATAAACAACTAAAAAATAATACTATGTGAAAATTATTATAACACATAATATACCCTCAACTAACTTAGCCTCTAGCACGTCCACACAATCTCCAACGTGTATATTTTCAACCAATTCCGACAATCTCCACCTTAATTGAAAATAACACATAAACTTTAATTATCTTCATTAACAATCATATTGCACCATAAAGAGTATTACCATGTATATTTTCAACCAATCTCAACAATCTCCACCTTAATAGAAAATAATACATCAACTTTCATTATCTTCACCGACAATAATACTCCACCAAAAAAAGTATAGTCACTTGAACCTACATCACTCCAAGAATTTTTACATTATCTTCACCAACAATCATAGTTTTAAAAACTATCATATTGTCTCATGAAGAATATATTTCACTTGAAGATAAATCACTTCAAGAATTTCACATTGCCATCACCGACAATCATATACTTTATCATAAAGAATAAATTTCACTTGAAGGTAAATCACTCCAAAAAATTTCACAAGTCGAAAACCAGGTTAAAACTTTATGGTGCAACTTCCATGTTGGTCGAAAGTTCTTCAACCATCGACATAATCTCACACCTTTTGTAATCTTGATTGTGTCAACACATCTTTGACTTGAACTTTTCACAAGTCAAAAAAAATTCTTCCATCAATTTTATCTAGGCCAAACTGCACAGCAGGATTTGTGACTGTAGCTTAACAACTCTTTCACAACACTACCCTTCTTTTTTTTCTGATGTGGAAGATCAGGAAAAACTGCAACCACAAAGCATACTAAGAACATTTATCCCTGAATCGAACCAAAAACTCTAATATTACTTGTTAGGAAAAAAAAATAAAGCATAGAGAAAAAAGAGAAACACAATCACAACACAAAAACATAACGTGGAAACTCCGAAATCGAAGAAAAAATTATGGTCATTGCCAATAGACAACCAGAGAATAATATTATGTGAAAATTATTGCAACACATAATATACCCTCAACTAACTCAGACTTTTAGTACACCCACCCTCTCATAAATAAATATTTAACTACATCACACAACACTATAATACAAGAGTATAAGAGAACAAAGAAAGTCAAATACAAGGTTATAGTGCTTTTGACTAGTGCATCTTAGAATGAAGAATTTGAATCATATATATAACCTTTTACTCCCTCTTCATTCACAAAACTAAGTGATATGGGATTTCAAAGAACTTGTATCCTATATATAGCCTTAGACTCTCAATGTTGGACTTATTAAACATGTATATTTTTAACCAATCCCAACACATCTTACCCATACACTATTTGACATGTTGCTTATTGTTTTTTCAAAGTTTATGCTTTCTTCAATCCATTTCGTTCTTAGATACTCCCTTTATCTCAAAATAAAAATCTTTTGAGGTTGTTGCACATAGATTAAGAAAAATAATAATTGAATAATTAAATGTAACAATTTTACAAAATTGTCCTTAATTACTATTGATTGTCATAAATGTATAATATGATGTAATAGCTTAAAAATAATGTAGACAATATTTATTAGGGGTAAAGTTTTCAAGTTTAAAAAAACAAAAGAATGATAGTAAATCTTTTAACAAATCAATATTAAGACAATTTTGCTAAATTAAATGAGAGTAGTGGATTATTAAAGTCTAGGACAATGTTAAATTTTTGAATTTTTTTTTCATCCTCGGATTCCCATAGGAATGGAATCCTAGTAATCAAGAATTCGACTTGGGAGATTATAGATCTGGCCAAACATTGTTTTCACTAAGAATCAGACTTGATATTCCCCAGACCTTCGTTCCTTAGCAGAAGTTCATTTACTACTCGAGTCCAAATACTTGATTAAAATTTTTTGAAATTTATGTCTAAATAAAACTTAAGTTCAATCATGACAAAACAATTATGAATCATATAACAAATCTATTATAAAGTCCTATTTAATTACATTTTAATTGTGCCAAATTTAAAACATAAATTTTAGTTCATTTTGAACACTTTCTAAAATGATCATGAGTGTAAGTTTATAGTGTTTATTATCACTTTATTTACCGACCTAAATAATAAAAGAACTTTTTTTACTCGGTCTTAAAAAACTTGAGGCCCGCCAAGACTAACCTGTTTAAAGTTGATTAGTCTGTTTTGACAGCTTTTTATCTAGTTAAGTGAAAAAAAACTCTTATTATCGGATGACGACATCATTATCAAGGATTCTAGTAAAGCAATTCAATAACTAGGAAGACAAATGACAAGGACACATTCCAAGAAAGCTATGGAGGCCTTAAAATAAATAGTGACAACCACTATAGAAGCAAGGCCTAAATTAGAAGACTTTGAGGGGAAAATGGCCATTTCCATTAGTTCATTGGAAGATTGATTAGGTCTATTTATTTATGAATTAAAAATAAATAATTTGTGTTAATAAGGCACAAACCATGCATAAGTGTGTTTTATTTTGTAAGCCAATCACAAGCCTTCATCTAAATGAGCAAGTGACATGGAAATTATCTAGTTTTTTTTTTAATTAAGTAAATAAAGTGACAAGACTCAAAGAATAAAGATAGCAAGAAAAAGGGAAAATATTCAGCAAGTCAAAAAAGAAAGAGCAAAGTAGAAAATGTCATTCAATACACCATTTCCTACTTGAATTTGTTGTCTCCAACAAGTAACTCCCACCATTCAAATCTACAATAATCAGCCACCCTTCAATTAATGTTTCTTTTATTCATTTGTTTTGTAACATATGTGGTGATTAAGTTTGCATTGGATGCTTGTGCCATTTGCCTTTACAATTTTTCATTTTTTTTCTTGTACTTGTTGACTTTCTACGTGTAAAGCAAGATAAGAATTATATGTACAAGTTCATATATATGGAAGAAATTCATAAAATAATGTAAATTGAATTTTATTAAAATATTTCTCTTTGAGAATAGAGAGTTAAGCTCATCTTTGGTTTTGGATTGAACCAACATTGGTCTTATCAAGAATTCATAATTCTTATTGTGATTATCCTTCCATAAGGCTTATCTTCTTCTATGATTAGAAGAGTGACACCTCTCTTGTCTAAAACTTTCATATATTTGCTCTTTTTATTACCTTGATACAAAATTTACCAATACTTCAATTCACCATTAAAAATTCAAAAATCATTCATTATTCATTCTAAAATATAAGTATCTCTAAGAGAATCACAAGAACTCATAGTTATAGAAAAAGCCTTAAATTCGACCTTGATAAAAATGGCACAAAATCAGAATTTAGGAGTCATCAAGTGGTATCAGAGCAAGGTTCTTAAAAAGGGTCACACATTGGTAAAGTTGCAA